ATGGGCAGTGAGGCAGATGGGAACACCAGGAGAACACTGGGACACAGCAAGGACAGCCGACCCGTCCCCCAATCAGCACAGGACCACTCAGAGAAGACTGCTCAGGAATGCAGAATTGCATAGGGTGTGGTTTGATGAAAAAACTCAGGCCCAGGGCCGGCCCGGTGGTGCACTGGAGAGTGCGCCGCTTGGGAGCGTGGCGGCGCTCCCGCCGAGGGTTCGGATCCCGATCCATGTGGAGACCGGTTACCGCTCACTGACTGAGCGCGGTGCGGGCGCGACACCGAGGGTTGCGATCCCGTTGTCGGTCCCCGGTATGGGCACGACACCGAGGGTTGCGATCCCGTTACCAGTCAGTAAAAAAAGACAAAAAGGAAAAAAAAAAAAAAAACTCAGGCCCAGATCAGAGATTCTACAGAACACAGGTCCACCGGGTCTCTGGCGAGCTGGGAGTACCTATAAGGTAAACCATTAAACCCTGAGCTGCATGAAAAGCCTTCCCTAGGGAAACAGCAGCAAAGCAGCAATTTAGCTCAACCACACAGATCAAATACTGGTTCCCACAAGAAGTTCTCCTGTGTTAGAAGTGAAGGACAAAAAATTAGTTCTGGCCCATGCACACCACCAGCACCTTGGGACCTGCCTGGGAACCGGAGGCTCAGATATGGGGACTCGACCCCACTCCCACTTCCAGGCAAACTACACTAGTGCCTCGGGGCCAGCCTGGGGACCTGAAGCATGGAGAAGGGGACTGGACCCCCCTCCCACAACCAGGCACACCATGCCAGCACCTTGGGGCCTCCCCGGGGACCTGAGGCAACGAGAAGGGGAACGGACCTCTCTCCCACAACCAGGCACACCGAGCCAGTGCTTCAGGGCCCACCCGGGAACCTGTGGTATGGAGAAGGGGACTGGACCTCTCTCCCACAACCAGCCACACCACGCCAGCACCTTGGGCCCCACCCAGGGACCCAGGGCATGGAGAAGGGGACCAAACACACCCCACAACCAGGCATACCACCAGTGCTAAGGAGCATACCAGAAACAGCACCTCCACGTGGGTAGCACACCACAGCCACCACAATAAACATGGCTGCTGCAAAAGCGGCTAGACGCCACAACCACCACGCAGATGGTCTGCCAGCCACTGGAATACATTCACACAAGAAGAGTCACCAGCAGAGAGAAAGAAAAGAAGAGGATGTCTCTTTCCACAAAACCCATTTCAGAGTGACAGAAGAAGCATCTGCTCTATGATAATATTGGACCTGATCACATCTCTCAGCATTGGACAGATCATCTAAGCAACAAGTTAACAGAGTAACCATTATTCTTTCAGAAGGAGAGAAGAAATCTAGGGCAATTAGAGGGGGGAGGGGGAAGGAATGGGGGAAGGGGAGAGATTGGACAAGGGGCATAAAGAATAATTATGATTTATAACAGTATATATGCTAGTAATACTGATTTAATCAACATATCTCAATGTTCAACCCAAAAAATATGTATAATCGATTTTGATTCAATAAATAAAATAAATTTAAAAAAAAAAAAAAGGAAGAAGAGTAGTACAACAAACTACGGTATGTCTACACCACCAGACAGCAATAAAAATGAACAAACTATAGATACACACAACAATTTTTATGTGTCTCAGGGGAATTATGCTGCATGAGAAAAAGCCAACTTCAAGTTACCATAAAGCAAGTGTTGCCAAGAAGTGGGGAACAGGACCCCTTGTGCATTGAAGTAGGAATGCAAAATGGTGCAGCCACTGTGAAAAACAGTCTGGTAGTTCCTCAAAAAATTAAACAGAATTACCATACGATCGGGCAATTGCACTTCTGGATATACAGTCGTCCCTCAGTACCCGTGGGGGACTGGTTCCAGGTCCTCCCTCGGATACCAAAATCCACAGATGCTCAAGTCCCTGATAAACACCATTTGCATATAACCTATGCACACCCTCCTGTATACTTTAAAGCATTGCTAGATTACTTATAATATCTAATACACTGTAAATACTATGTAAATCATAGGGGTAATGTATTGTTTAGGGAATGATGACAAGAAAAAAAGTCTGTACGTGTTCAATACGGACGCTTTTTTTTTCATATATTTTGACCTGCGGTTGACTGCATCCATAGATGTGGAAGGCCAGCTGTATACCCAAAAGTGAGTACCTTCTATGTGCCAGAAACTGTCTTGGGTGCTAAAGATAATGGAAAATTTTTTTAAAAGTGTGAGCAAGGGGAGACAATAAACATATATGCGAGGTAGTAACAATGCTATTAAAAAATAATGTAGGGTAAGGGGGTAGTGACAAAAATATACTATTTTAAATACGATGGCTAGTTTAATGCTGAGATTGTGAAATCTCAAATTCATGTTTTGCAAATATTAACCACTACAACCCAACTCTTTCCAGATACATCTTGCTCCTTCCCTTTCTTTGCCATGTTTCTGTCTCTAGATAACATATATAGGACTTCTCCACTTGGGATCATGATCCAAAATCCCAGATTCACTCCCTGTATTCAACAGTCAGCACCCACCTGCTCTGTGCTAGGGATGGTGCCAGGCTCTAGAAATGAAGAGATGGCACATGGCCACTGTCTTCAGTAGTGAGGAAATAGACATAAAAGAGAACAATTATATCACAGTAATATAAATGTCTAATTGTACAATGTACAATTATTCAGGCCTTTGCTATGTTTTGAAAATATTATGATAAATAAAACACACAGATATAACTTCCTCTTTTGTTAATGACAAGGCTGTACAGTCAATGCTCCATGGTGGTAAACATGATTCACTAAAAGTATTAATGGGCGATAATTAAGGGTTTTATAAAGAAAACAATTTTTATATATACACAGGGTGTCTTTGTAGTAACAAAACATTATAATAAGATCAATTCTCATTTCTATATACCTACTCTATAAACCTATTCCTCATTTCTAGAAACACTTTGTCTTTTTCCCCCATAGTGTTTCACTCATGTTTTCATTTCTTCTTTTATGTCTTTAATACTTTTCAGTGTAGTTATTTCATAGTCTCCATCCATGGGGTAGATTGGTTATAAAAATGGCTGAAATAATTCCTCTACTCTACAGCCATGGTCTCAGGGAACTCTAGTTTTAGTCATGTGACTTGGTTTGGCCAGTAGGACACTAGCAAGCATAATGTAAGCAGAGACTTAAAACATGCTTGACCTTGAGACTTGCTCTCTCTACTCTTGAGATCTCTACAGCTACTACCTTGTGAATAAGCCCAGGTTAACCTGCTAAATGATGAGAGACACAGGGCCAAGTCAATTTGATTCCCTCAGCTGACACCTAGCCAACCTCAGTCATGTCAGAGAGGCCAACACAGACTATCTAGTCCCAGCTGAGATGGCCCAGACCACAAGAATCCTCTCCACTGCACCCACCCTACTGACTCTCAAAACGGTGTGAAATAGCAAATGTTTATTGTTTGTGGGTCACTAAATTCTATGGCAGTCTGTTACACAGCAAAAGCTAGATGACACAAACAAATTTTATTGCCAGAAATTGCTAGAGGTCTAATTCTGCTTTTCATCACAAACAACAGTGGATATTTACTGTGTTAAATTGTTTCCTCGTGAGTTTTGTAATTTTAGAGCTCATTTCGTGAAACTTTGTTTACGGAATCCTGTGCAACCTGGGTTGAGAATGTATCAGGCATCCCAGACCAGCCCAGGAGCACTTTTTATGCTAATTTCTTGATTTGAAGTTTCCTGAATTATACAAGTGTAATTACAAACTACAAATCCCTGTGAATTCAGATTCACTGCTATAAATTCAGAGAACAGACCTTTTTTTTTGACCAAGAACTAAAGCCAAGAAAGACATGTTTTTTTAATCATCTTTCTCTACCACTTGGATATTTTGCTATTCCATCCTTTCACAGACAGTGTAGCCTTTTGAGGGTCCCTGAGTTATATATGCATGTGTTGGGGGGGTCTCAGTTCTGATTCCATGTTTCCATAGGCCTAAGACCACATCTCCTATCCTGTGTGGGCATTAAAATCTAAACCCCTCGGTTACCAAAACTAGCAATCCACCACCCATCCACCTCCAGCCAGGGCAAAAAAAGCATCCTCTTGACTATCTAAATAAAACATTATCTGTTCCTTTTTATTCCACATTTCTAGGTGTTTGATGGTTACAAATGCTATGCTTTCAAACTCATGGAGATAACTTTAACTAGAAAATTAGAATTACAAAGTTCAATCAAAAACTAAATGTCCCTAAAAACACAGGATAAAATTCCTGAGTTTTATGAGAATTTGGAAAAGTATTAATTATTTCCTTTGAATCCATGAGATAGCATGCCAAAATTAATTAATAGCTTAATAATAGTCTTGGGCAGTTCAATCCTTACTTTATCCACGTCATAAGTTCCACTGTGTCTGGGTCATAGAATTCCTGTAGTTCCGTTAATTCTGTCATTAGTCTTGGAAAAAACTAAAATGCAAAACAAAATCCCCAAAAAGTGTGTTAAGTAACTTGAAAGTTTAAAATGGTTCCAGAGTACTTAAAAAGACTAAGAGACAAACTTAAGGCAAACATTACAACACTATTCTCACAGGGAAAAATGTCATGGATTTCTTTGCTTTCTCTCTTTCAATGACCTGCTTATTCTTCTCAACCCAAATAATCTATCTTATGGTTAATTCACTGTGAAGACTCAATAAATAATTTTATCATTTCCAAACAATTAATCATCATTTATACCTTTCATGCACATACATACTAAATAAATAAGTAAATTAATTTTGGGTCATATAATTTGCAGATTTATTTGAAATTAGGTTCATGTTACATTACAATAAAAAAGAACATATCATTTAACAGATATCAAAATTTTGGAATTGCTAAAATATTTTTTAATATCAAGACCTATTTATTTGACAATTTCCTTTGACAATTATAAATTGAATTAACAATAGCATTAGATTACAAAAAATTGCATCAAATGGCATTCTAAAATTTTTTTAGTTCTTCTATAATGTTCCTAATGAAAACAAAATTAAATATTACTAAGAATATCACATTTTATTTTGTTTAAAATAGTGTCTCAATATAAGTTTCCTACCCACACATATAAACTTTTCGCTACCTTGTAGATAAAGTACATTTTAGTAATGTAAAATCTGATTTGTTTACCTCTTTCCATAAACTGAGACCTATTATAGTGGGCACAGCCATACTCAGAATAAGAGCCTAAAATATTAAAGCAAAAAGAGTTATGGATAAATACATTTCAGAATATACTTTAGATGTACTAGACACTGACTCTATGACCAATCACATATCCTTATAGTTATAAAAATTTCAGTCTGGGCTGGCCAGTTAGCTAAATTGGTTAGACTGTGGTGCTGACAATACCAAGGTTCAGGGTTCAATCCAAGGTTCAAGCCAGCGCAAAAATTAAAAAAATTCAGTCACAGAAAATGAAGTTAGCATAGAACCTAGTTCATTGAGTGAGACAGGTGAAGACTAATATGAGTTCCAAACATATTAAGCTGAAGGTAAAGTGAGGCATACATATTTACTATATAAACTTAAGACCAAACATTAAAAAGGTAATGCTTATAGTAATATTTCAAACAGCAAATTAATACTTGAAAATTTGCCATGAGTTTATGTTATAAAGAGCTTATAAAAGATACCGAACTGCTACATGAAAAGCTAACAACAAAAAAGACAATGAATTAACACAGGAAAAATAGGAAATATATATCAATATACTAGTATGTTAAAACAGGAATAGATAAATTCTTCTGGGAATAAGACTGGCAAAATACAACATGACTATTATTAAAGATAATTCATCATCTTCCTGCCAAAACCTGTTCTTTTTCCTATTACCCATGGCTGTTGGTGACCACACAATCTATAGTCCTACAAACAAAAAACCTAGAAAACATCCCTCCTCTTCTTTCTCTCATACTTAATCAAGCACTGAATCTTATTAATCTTCTTTTCTGACTACAGATGCTCCTCAATTTACAATAGGGTTACATCCTGATAAACCCATTATAAATTGAAAATAGAGTAAGTTGAAAATGTATTTTATACACTTATTCTCCCAAACATTATAGGTTAGCTTAGCCTACCTTAAATGTGCTCAAAACACTTATATTAGCCTAAAGTTGGGCAAAATCATCTAACGCAAAGCTTGTTTTATAAAAAATGTTGAATATCTCATGTAAGTTACTAAACACTGTACTGAAAATAAAAAATAGAATGGTTGTATGGGTTCTGAAAGTATGGTTTCTACTGAATGCGTATTGCTTTCAGACCATCATAAAGTCACAAAATCGTTAAGTCGAACTATCATAAGTCGGGGACTGTTGTACTTTTTTTTCACTCCAATATAGCATGGTATTAATCAAATGGATTTTGGAGTCAGAAAAACCTGGTTGTGAATAATGGTTTCCACACTTATAAGCTCTGTAATCTAAAGCAAGTTATTTAACCAATTTAATCCTTAGTTTCTCTGTCTATAAAATAGAGATAATAAAACTAACATTGAACAGCCCGTGCAATGCTTCGAACAGTACCTGACACATAGTAAGCATTGAACAAATTGAAGCTTCTAGTATTTCTGTACACCATGGCCTCCTTCCTGACTCGAGTCCATCACCCTTCAGCCTATCCTTCACAGAACTGTTAAGTGAGCTAACTGAAACATGCGACTCTCTCTCCCCCCATGAGGCACAAGCATCTCCATGCCTTCCTCCTGCCCACAGGGTAAGACCAAGCTCCACAGCACAGCACTCAAGGCTGCACTGACCTCACCCTCCCTCCTCCACCTCTCCAGTCTCATTTCTTGACCACCCTCTACCTCACAGTTCATGTATCAACAAATCTAAACGTATCATTCTTTTTTGTCTGTTTTTATTCCCTTTGATTATATCATATTCTTTGCCTACCTCTGTGTTTATTCCTTCCACCACAACTACCCTTTTTTCCCTTTACATGCCTAATAACTCATCATCTTTCAAATCTCAGATTGGAAAGTCTTCTTTGAACCCCTAAAGAAACTGAATTAAATAGCCCTTCTCTCTGTTCTAATAGCACCCTATGAATATGACTTTTTTTTTTTAACACTTCTTATTTGTTTTTATGCCCAGGATACTGTAATCTACTTGATGAAATTAAGCATTTTGTATTTATCTTTGTATTCCAAGTTTCTTGTACAGTGTTACCCTAGTTTTTTGCTTTTTGGTTTTTTTTTAAATGTAGATATATGGTGCAGGTAAAAATAACGCTGAAAGACACTGCTAACAATGATGATGCCTGAGGAGTGGGATGGAGGGATTTTCATTTTTGACTTCATATATTTCTATATCATTTGGATTTATTATAATCTGCATGTTACTTTTTACATAGCACATGGTAGGCACACTGTAAATGTTCCATTCGTATGAAAAACATACGATAGTTCTAAATGAAACCAAGAAAGATATTATAAAAAATTAACTCTTGACAGCCACTCACATTTACTGATTTGCTTATATTTTTACCTCTTATTTTTTAAGACATATGCATTCAAATGCATTACTTTTATAATAAAAAAAAAATTTTTTTTTTTTTTTAAGATGACCAGTAAGGGGATCTTAACCCTTGATTTGGTATTGTCAGCACCACGCTCTCCCAAGTGAGCTAACCAGCCATCCCTATATAGGGATGTAAACCCATGGCCTTGGTGTTATCAACACCACACTCTCCCAAGTGAGCCACAGGCCAGCCCTCAGAAGTTATTTTTAAAATGTTTTTCACAGTATCTATTTATCTGCCTATAAATCATAATGTGATTTACCCATAATATTTCAATTTTACTCAATGTGGTTTCCACTTATTAGCATTTGGTTTTATATAATTGGAAAAGAAACAAGTACTTAACACAAAGTAACAATGACTCACCAACAATATTGGGTGTACAGTTTTTAATCGAAGCCACTTGAAAAGTGTCATCCAAAGTTCAGGAGAACATACACCAAATGCTGCTAGCATGCACACGTAAGGAGTCCAGACATATTTCAAGCTGGAAAAAACAAAGAGTCACATATGAGACATCCTATGATTACATGGATGAACATATGAACATCATTATTATCTGATTTCTCTTTTCTGAGTTCTTTCCTACCAGCCATGAAAATACCAAAATGTTAAGGAAGATCAAAAAAGCTTAGCCTCTAATTTTCAGCAACAGATTGTTATCCAGCTCTTAAATAATCAAGATGGACACGGAAAAAGACAAAAAAAAAAAAAAAGAAATATTAATTGATCATGCACTGCAAGCTGACCAAAGTATTAGACAGCAAAGAAGAAAAACAAGACCTGGCTATAGCCCTCAAGAAGCTCTTTATCAAGATGGAATAAAACTGAACATTAGAAATATATGTATAAGAAAATTTACATAGGGTCTAGGGTTATGTGAAAGTAAAGTAACGAATTTGAGAAGAATGTAGTTAATGAAGGTTTTTAAAAAGTGAATACTGTACTAACTCAGGCCTTGAGAGAAGTAGTAGACATACATCAAATACATGCTGCTAAGACAGAGAATGCACTAGTTTCTTCTGGTCAACCAATAACTCCTCTTAACTTCCTCATTTCTGAAAATATCAATCTGTTCTTCAATACTAGGGTATAGTCAATACTAGGGTATAGTTTACAGCTCTAAGGGGCACTATTCACCTTGAATTATATGTATATAACATCTCCTGGAATACAAACTCTCTGCTCTAGAGATTAGCCCATAGATGCCAAATCCACCGATTTCTTTGTATCTACCTTTGTACTCCTTTATTAATACATTAAATGCAGGTCTAGTAATGACTAATCTTGAAGTAGTCAGGTATATAAATGATATTGCAAGATATCTGCAAAAACTTAATATAATGAAAAAATATGCTTTCTGTTGGGAAAAGCATCACAGGTACTGCTAAAATTACTGTAATTAATTATGCATATTAATAATAAAAAGATTTTTAACTTAGCGAAATCTTACACTGGATTAATATTCCTCACCTCTTCCTATATCCACTTTCATCACTCTACTTCAGAGCCTTAATTACTCCTCCTCATAGGAGTAATTTACCTGATCATGAGTGTGAGAGAAGGAACTGAACACACCCAGCTCAAACACTTCTCAGCCCCTAAATTTTGGATCTGCCTCCTGCACAGTGGGTGTATACAGCTGCAGGAAGGCCTGCAGTTTGGGGACTAAGTTCAATATGGGGTGGAAGACATTAGGAGCTCTTTTAGTCACACAGTAAGAAGTGTTCTCCAATACAAATTTTGTCACAAAGTTGTTATTTTCACCTCCAGCTGATTTAATCCTATCTCTATCTTAAGTCCAAACTTCAAAGAAAAAGATAACATTTATTGAACCTCTACCCTAAAAGCCCCAGTGTTAATTAATCAAAACAAATTAAGTTACTTTTAAAAATTCCAGAAATTAGGGACACAGAGGGGAGGGGAAGAGGTGAATTAATGGGTACAAAGCTACGGGTATATAAAAATAATAAGTTCTGGTGTTCTAGTTGACTATAGTTAATAACATATTGCATATTTCTAAATAACTAGAAGAGAAGATCTTGACCCTAATCACCACAAAGAAAAGATAAATGTTTAGGTGATAGATATGCTGTCCACCCTAAGTGAATCATTGTACAATTTATGCATGAATTGAAGCAACACACCATACCCCACAAATATGTACAATTAAATTTTAATTTTTTTTTTTTTCCTTTTTTCGTGACCGGCAACGGGATCGCAACCCTCGGTGCTGCGCCCGCACCTCGCTCAGCCAGTGAGCGGCTGGTCTGTATGTGGGATCCGAACCCTCGGCGGGAGCGCCGCCGCGCTCCCAAGCGGCGCACTGTAGCAGTGCGCCACCGGGCCGGCCCAAAATTTTAAAATAAAATAAAATTCCAGATGCACAAAAAGAGAAATTCCAGAAATTAATAACATGCAGGGTAAAAGCATTTATATAAACAAAAAGAATTATTAAATAATTTGAAAAACATAATTGCCATTTAAAGGCAATAAAAGACATGAAGTGTGGGAGAGAATGAAAGAAAAAATAACTACCCCAAAATCCTCAACAAGGCCTACTGCATGTTCGTTGCACTTTAGCCAAACTGAGCTCCTTTTTATGCCTTCCCAAAATGTGCCACAATCCTTCTTACCACAGATCTTGGCATATGCTATTCCGTATACCTGGAACACTCTTTACTCTTCTGTTCACCTGGTTCACTCATACTCAAAATTCAGGTCTTAACTCAAGCACCTTTTCCTTAGAGAACCTTTGTGATCTCCTTAAGTCAAATTCTGTTTGTATGTTCTCACGGCACCATTTACCCATTCTTCACTTACCAAAGCTGTAATTTTATTTTCGTATGATTAACATCTGTCACCTTCATTAGGCCATAAGTTACATAGAGATTGTGTGTCCATCTTTGCTTACCTCCAGCATCTAGCACAAGACCTGAACCTTAGAAGACATTAAGTAGTTTTTGAACAAATGAATGAAAAAGTAAATGCCAGTCCACTGTACTATAAACACCTTTGTAAACTCCAGTTAGATTAAGAAAGATTATAGGTTTTAAGTTTTCATAAAGTTTTATAAGTAAATTCTTGAATGTATCCACTTATTACCATTAGAAAGGACAATCTTTATAAAAATAGATCAAATAAAGCACACTTACCCTTCTATAACCATTGCAAGAGCACCCAATAAAATACTGTGAATTACATGATAAATTATTTCTGGCCTTTCTCCAATTCGTCCATCTTCAAGACTCACAGTTTCTTTCAGGGACTTACCACTGCAAAACCAAGAGCACCCAATAAAATACTGTGAATTACATGATAAATTATTTCTGGCCTTTCTCCAATTTGTCCATCTTCAAGACTCACAGTTTCTTTCAGGGACTTACCACTGCAAAAAAGAAACGTGCTTCTTTAATACTGTGAAAATACGATTGGCCCTCCCAACCCACAGGTTCCTTATCAGCAGAGTCAACCAACCACGAATGGAAAATATTAGGGAAAAAAATAAAATAAAATAAAAAATAACACAAATTTAAAAAACAATATAGTGTAACAACTGTTTACATAGCACTTACATTGTATTAAGTATTTTTTCTTATTGAAACATAATTGTATATATCTGTGGGGTACAGCGATGAGTATCAATACCTGTGCGCAATATGTGATGCTCAAATCAGGACAGTATTAGGTATTATAAGTAATCTAGAGATGTTTTAAAGTATATGGGAGAATGTGTGTAGGTTATATGCAAATATTACGCCATTTTATATCAGGAACTTAAGCAACTGCAGGTTTTGACTGGGTGGGTTCCTAGAACTAATCCTCCACAGGTACCACAGGACGACTATACATATTTTGTTTTATATATATATAAAACAAAAAAATATAGGTGTGTCTTTAAAATTTGAAAGTATATTCTGTTAGTCAAATACCTAACATGTATCTTTCCAAGTCTTTGCAAATGGCTTTTGAAATCTGAAGACAATGCTCTGTGAAGACTAAATATAAATTTTCAGGATAATAAAAAAGATTTTTTAGGTTCCTTCTCTAAAATCAATTATAACTCAACTAGTGACTGCTAAATCAGTATAGTTAAATCACAATCTGAATAAGTTCACAAAATTAAGAAATTACACATAACCTCCTTTCAAACATGATAAAAATATTGAAGAACAGTCAAAGTTTATCATTTAAAATCACTTATGCTATTAGCTTCATTTATATTAAATACAAGAAATTATTCTTACATGAGGTAAAAATGTGAGTAAAGTCAAATAGAATTATTAGTACTTTAAGTAAAAAATTTGGGTAAAGACAAATAGAATTATTCTTACATTAAGTAAAAACTTGAGTATATTAGTGAATGAATCTGTAAAAGTTTAACTGATTATTTAAATATCACTCCTATATTAAATGTAGACACTACATATTTAGGTGTATAAAATTAAATTTGAATTTTTCTGGTCAACTTATAATGATATGTTATGCTTCGACGAAAAGAGAATGGAATTTGAAGCTCTAAAACAGACACAAAAATATTAGATAATATTTTTATAAAATATACATTATATATAATATATAAAATATAATAATATATAATATATAATATATAAATATCTTACATATTTCTATATGATTGATTTCTATCATATAATAACATAATATATGATATATATAAAAATCTTTCATATTTCTTGATTCTCATAGGTACTTACTTAATTCTCCTAAAAATAACTTGTATCACAGAAAGGAAACAAATAATTAATACTAAAATATAGAAAGGTAATAAAGAAGACTGTGTCAATCGCAAAAAAAAATCTTGAGATGGAGCCTGCAGAGATTCTTGACAGAGGAGCCAATTCATTGTAAAATTCCTTTAGAAGACAAAAAGCATGATATTAAAATTACAGGTGTCTTAAATTACTGAACATAAAAGTTTTTGTTTTTAAAATCAATAAACCTAAGACAAAATACATTTCCTAAATCTGTTCACTTATAACAGCAAGGTCCTATCCTTTATAAATTAAGATAACAGTATAAGTAACCCTCCTCAACAAAGCACATGCTTTCATAAAAACAGCTCTAATAAATATAAAACTGCTACTTTTTATTACCAAGTAATATGACCATCTCTAAAGCTGAATACTGTTTTTAGTGTTTTGATTTCTATTTTTATCTGGAAGAGAACAAAAATTTCAGCTGGCCAACCTCTACATCTGCACTGTCTGATATGGTAGCTACCAGCTACATGTGGCTACTGACCAACAAAAATGTGGTCAATCCAAATTGAGGTATACTTTAAGTATAAAATACACCCAGGATTTCAAAGAAAAAATAATTTTAAAGAAATTTTTGTTTGTTTGTTGGCACCTGGCCAGTATGGGGATTTGAACCCATGACTTTGGTGTTATAAGGCTGCACTCTAACCAACTGAGCTAACTGGCCAGTCCAAAAAATGAAATTTTTTTTTTTTCCTTTTTGTCTTTTTTCGTGACCGGTAATGGATCGCAACCCTCAGTGTCACGCCCGTACCGGACCAGGACTGGCAACTGGATCGCAACCCTCGGTGTTGCGCCCGCACCTTGCTCAGCCAGTGAGCGGCCAGTCTGTACATGGGATCCGAACCCTCGGGAGGAGCGCCACCGCACTCCTAAGCAGCGCACTGTAGCAGTGCGCCACCGGGCCGGCCCAAAAAAAAAAGAAATTTTGAAAAGCAAAATATCTCAATAATTTTTACATTATTTACACATTAATATAATATTTTGATGGACTGGATTAAAGAAAATATGTTATAGTATTAAAATTAATTTCACTTGTTTCTTTTTACTTTTTTAAATATGGCTACTAGAAAATTACAATTACATATGTGGCTTACATTATATTATTATTGGACAGCCCTACTCTATACTGATAAATGTAACTCAAGTAGGACTCATTTTTAAAAGGGACATCTATTTATTAAGAGAGATATCATAAAATATGAAATGTAAACATTTTGAGAGCTATAAGAATCAGGATACTTTTATTGACCCTAAGCTAAGTATAATCAACAGACTCCTAATTATATGCATTTTTATCTGCATCCTCACTTCAATCCATCTCCAACCTCCAATCCTCAATCCCTACCTGTGGAGAAGGAGGTAAGAGATAGAGTGTTGTTCATAAGTGCTCCTGGATGGATTAAGAATGTAGATTTCACAAATCACTGGTTAAAGTTTAACAACTTGTCAAATAGCAATAGAGCTGTATTAAAGAGACTGCCATCAAAATTTTTATCTTCTATCTGTGATGAATGCACCTTCATCTGCCTATTAAGATTATTAATTCTATAAGGTCCAATTCAAATCCCAATTTAACGAGTATTCTTTCCATATCCCCCAGTCTCAATCTTTCCTTCCCCATATTCCCACGACACTTTACTTGCCCCTCTATTATACTGTCTAATGTAATCTGCTTTGTATTATATTGTATAAAGATTGTCATTTTTGTATCCCCAAGAATACTGGCCTACTATCCTGCATATCCAATAAATATCTATTAACATTTCTTGAGTAGGGCTGGCCTGGTGGCGCACTGGAAAGTGTGCTGCTTGGGAGCACAGCGGCGCTCCCGCCGAGGGTTCGGATCCCATGTGGAGACCGGTTCCCGCTCACTGGCTGAACGCGGTGCGGGCGCAACACCGAGGGTTGCAATCCTGTTGCCGGTCCCCGGTACGGGCGCAACACTGAGGGTTGCGATCCCGTTACCGGTCAGTAAAAAAGACAAAAAAAAAAAACATTTCTTGAGTGGTTCTTGAAAATCTGTCTCAACAGAATTGACTCCTGAAATTCTAGTGAACTCCAAATCTAATATCCAATTGGCACATTTAAACATAAGGCATTTACTGTTTATACCACTAACTTGTATAATTGTATAACAAGTATCTAATGAGATGGCAACATTCTTAAGGACTGAGACCATGTCACTCTTTTTTTTTACCTCCCATGTCTTCTTCTTAAAACACTTACTGCTAGTGCATTACCTTGTGATACAAACCTAGAACCTGATGTTCTAAATAAAGAGGCACTACGTAACATCAACTAATAAACACTTGTCAAAAGCAGACCTTGACCTTCCAAGACTCTAAGAGGAGCCCAAGGTTAAAAGGAAAGTCAGTGGAAAGACCAGTCACTTATGGAGGTCTACACCAATTTTTACTGATTGCCTCCCATGTGTCAGGCCTATATATATTTCAGAAAAAGACAAAGTTCCTACTCTTATGGAGCACATGGCCTCTTAAGGATCCTTTTATCTTAGTGGATATACATATATGGTTTACATACCAGAAGAATTCTCCAGTATTTAAACTATGTCAAACACTTTGTTAACTGTGATATATCACAACATGAAATTCTACACATAGTATCTTTAATACCATATAATCACAGCAACTGAGAATAAAGTTGCAAGGTATATTAGAACTAGAGAAATGGGTAAGTAAAAATATCCTCTATTATGCAAGTAGACACTATCAGTACATAAAATTATTTATTTCATTTTTGATGGAAAAATAAGCAAAAACAGATTTAACAAGAACAAAATAAAGGTACAACATTATTTTGAATTAAAAGCAATCTAATTCTGGTCCAATTAATATGAACCCAAAATGAAACTCTTTGCTATGAAATAAATACCTTACTGACCACTCTCTGTCTCTTTTTAATGTAAGCATATTGCTGATGTAGTTGTTAAAATTACCTTGGCTGTTTATTCATTTTATTTATTTTTTTATTTATTTTTATTTTTATTTTTGTCTTTTTCGTGACTGGTAAGGGAATTGCAACCCTTGGCTTGGTGTCGCCCGCAACGCGCTCAGCCAGTGAGCGCACCAGTCATCCCTATATAGGATCCGAACCCGCGGTGGGAGCATCGCTGTGCTCCCAGCGCCGCAGTCTCCCGAGTGTGCCACAGGGCCGGCCCTGTTTATTCATTTTAAATCTTTATTTATTCTGACATAAGGTTGTATCATTGTTCTTCATCAAGGGAGAAAGTTGCCTTAAAATACTGTAATGCTATTGAAGTTTAAGTATATCTAATTTATAAAAGACTTAAATGAGATATATTTTAAATAAGAAAAAAACTGTCATATTTCTTCAACATATTATAATATCTCAAATTAATTGTTTTCTAAGTGGTATATAATTAGGTATATACTTCCTTCACAAGTATTTTTGCTTTTTATCTTCTAGGTGTTACAGACTTAGGTAAACTTACATAATCTAAAACTTACTTAGTCATATTTAGTCCAAACTTTACTTCAAGGAATTTCAGCATATGCCCATTTTCCTTGTGTGGGACAAAGATCTAGAAGAGAAAAACACTAGTCTAATAAATATTAGCTGTGCTTATAGCAATATGCTTTTTTCCAATACTAGAGATAGAAAATACAGCAAGACTACAAAACAAAAATGTGAATTAAATCATACACGGTATGCCTACGAAGCAAGATTTATTGACATAAGTCAATCACATTACCTTATGACTAAGCATACAACTATAAGGAGGAGTAAGAAGATTTCAACCTTATCATCCCATCTGGCACAAATAATTTAACTCTTCTGAATACCTTTGACTTGTCTCAATTTATTCCTTACAGTGCTTAACGTTAATTGAGTAATGATGACATTTTAAATTAAATGAACAATATAGTGTATTTCTTTTTTTCTTAAGTTTATAGAGAAAAGAATCAGAATCCTATTTTCTCATCCATATGCTAGTTACAATTATTGTTCAACTCAAAATTATACTGCACCAACTCTATTAGCTTGCTATTTCATTTTCATTAAAATTTAACCCAATATATTTTATTATTCAATCTGCTCTATTACATGAACCCCAGACAGTTACTTACCTTCATTATAATATTCAATGTCACTGTCAAAGTACACACCAAGTAAAAATTAATCACTTTCACTATTTTAGCTACAAAAGTTCCTTTCTTCACATTCAGCTGTGGGGAAAAAAATCATATAAACAAAGAAATGAGGTATAAAAAATTAACAATTTAAAAATTAACCACAAGAATGATAAATAGGCAATTCTAATTACCTGAAGGCACTTAGCAAGCATTAAGGCTGCTACTAAACTTAATAAAGGAGACACCAATAAAGCTGGATTCTCAAACTGCAGTAAATATCCCAGAAAAAGAGAAAATATGTAGATTTTATAAACTTCATGAACCTGTTGAGACAAAAATAAAGTGAATGAGAATAAAACGAATTTTATTGTACATCTTTTCACTAGTTTTGTTTAGGATGGATTTGACTATAATTATATACAGTAAGTGCTCTACTATAATTTAGGGACAGTATTGTATAATGTTCAACCCATATTTTTAATGTGATGGCCTGTAAGGAATTGTTTTCTTCTTAGAACTCTCAGGAAACAAAGAGCTTTAAAACCATGAGTGTCTAAATCAGACTGGATGAACCTTCTTTAGTGTCAGACTCTGACTTAATTTCACTTGGTTTGCCCTGTTATTAAAATTCATCCATGCAAAATCAAACTGCACAAATCAAAAATCATAATCTTTAGCAGCCGTTCCCAAAATCTACCCCGTAAAAATATACTGCCAGGAAATGCACCATCAGATAAAAGTATTTTTGCTTTTGATCTAGTTAACAGTGAGCATAAGAAAGTTAAATTTGATGTTCTAATAGAAGATCTCCCAGGAATTTAAATGTCTTAGGAGATTTTTTTCTAAAATTAAATAGCATAGGGGCTGGCCAGTTATCTTGGTTGGTTAGAGCACAGCCTTATAATACCAATGTCATGGGTTCAGATCCCAGTACCAGCCAGCTGCTAAAACCAAAAAAAATTTTTTTAAATGAAGTTCCTTAAAAATTAAATTAAACAGTATGATAATTTTAAATGAAAATAATTTAATTTTAAATGAAATTTAAAATTAATTTTAGAAAGGGAAAAACATAGCATTAGTTAGGGGGAAAAACAAAACGCAGTGTGTTAAACATAAAAAAACAAAGACAAATAGAAAAAAAATCCATAAGAAGCCAAAGCAACTTTAAAAAAAAAAGATACCTCACTGTTAAAAGTCATAGCAGTTACCCTTGAGGGCTGAAGTAATGACTGGGAGAGAGCACAACGGTGTCTTCTGGGTAATGCTCTATTATTGATTTGGGAGCTGGTTGTACAGACATATGCCAGTTATTGAGTAACTCTGTCTTAGTTCCAAACCTCCCCTTCCATCCTCTGCCTTGTAATGCTGGTGCTGGGACTCTGCAATCTACATTTCTGCTTTTCTAGATAGTTGCCTATTAAGCTCTGCTGATAGAAAACGCTAGAGGGAGACTGCAAGGCTGGAGGAGGAAGGAGCTTGCTCCTTCCTCTTGCTTCCTGTTGGCTTGTGGTTCCTGTGAGCATACTTGGTTAACAATTCTTTTTGTTAAATTCTCTCTGTTCAAATAACTTAAATGTTGGTACTCAGGGTTCTGAACCATCTGAGTACATGGGATGAAGAAAAGGAAGAGAGATTTTAAGATACAACACTATAAAAACATTTATTCTCTGAATTTTGAGAATGATGATTTGAAATCATCATTTCAAAATGCCATAATTCACTAGCCACCAAAAGAAAAAAAAAAAAAGCCAAAATACCTTGTCACTTTTCTCCAGTGAAAAGATATCTAGCAGGAACAGAGATATTGCTTGAAGAAACAGGAGATAGTGGCTGTACTCCCACATCATCATAAACGTGTAAGTTGAAGCACTGATCAACAAGTAGCAAAACCTCTAGAGAAAACAAAAGAAAGGAACTAACCATCAATAACTTTATTACTATAAAAGTCTATGAGGTTGTTATCTCAAAGTTGCAGCTCTGTTATTGGCTGAACTTCAAGCTATATAACTCTCGAAACTTTGTTTTTAAATCACACAATTATTATTAAATCTGTACAAAAACAATAAGGTCATAAATAAGGCACTCTAGAGAAAAATCAAGCACTTATCCTGCAGCGTTCAACATCATATTGAGAATTCCAGGAAAACAAAGAAGGAAAAAAAAACAAAATTCAGTATTATTTTCTTTTATCCCAAATGAGGTAAAGCACTAAATATAAGAAAATTGTGGTTTTTACTAGACTTGGCTGATGAGCTTTTGTTGTTGTGAAAGTAACTCCTTTCACCCTGAAAACAATATTTTTACTCCCACGGTGCTTCATATTTTCCTAAGAGCTTCCATATTCATAGTCTGTTTATATCTCAGTTATTCCACAGACCAGGTATTACCTTTTTATTTCCTCTCAACAAAAGCATGGCCCTGTCTTTCCCCAGTGCTTGCATTGTCAGCCATATAAAGCTCTCACCTATTTTCCTCTGCTAAATACTAAACACAAGGATTTCATTGCCCTTGCCTGAAATATGCCTTGCTAAAATCAATTCTGTCCTTCCAAATGTCATCTCCCAAGTGATCCCTTAAAGTAACCAAGTCTGTGACAAATCCACTGTCCCACAGCATATTTCCAACAACAGTCTCTTCCTTCCTCCGTTGATCTACTTTTTATTCCAATTCCTCCACTGCCTGTACTGTCAAATGACCTCATTCTGATAAGAACAGTGAAGGAAAAAGATAATAAAGGCCAGATCAAGAAACCTTAGGTAAGAACTGTGTTCTCTAAAACTATATCTTTCATACTCAGCTTACTATACTTAATGATAAATTCCAGAGTCAGAAATACCTCAGCCATCAGCAGATAAAAGAATTTTCCAGCATCCTAAATAAGATTTAAGACCGGAGAAGAAAATGTAAGAGATGGCAAAATGCTGCTGGTGGTCCAATAACATCCACTACAAAGCTCAGAAAGGCTCTACATCGATAGAACACAAGCTTCTGCTCTTCCTGTCACCATAGCTTTATACAGGGAAAGTGTTCTGGAAACCTTCTAATGTGGAACAATCAGAACTATATAATAACCAGGCCTGAAACCATCATTCCCAGAGAAACCAGTTCCAGAAATCAATGAAAGCTCAACTCTAAACACAGCCTAATTAACCGACTAGCCATTTAGAGATTACTTTGGGAATTCTGGGGAAATGCTGCTACATAGTAAAACAAACTGCTAATTCCAAGGGTTTACTCTCAAACTACTCTAAAAACATGCAACGAAAATAAGTCTTGAAGACTGAAATATAAATCAAACACAATCTGGACAATTAGCTTAAGTTTCTCTTTCCCTGAACATTTTCAAAGTTCTGTGCAGTCTTATCTACCCCTTGCTCACAGTGGCTCACAGTGGCTCACAGTGCTTCACCTTCACTGTGCCTGTAGTGTAATATTTGTTATATATGTGATTTAAGTGACACATTAAGTAAGTTTCAGTATCAACCACAGATGTCTCTGGATGACTCCAGATAACTGCTCAAAAGATCTGAGCTTAGATATCCTGATGCAACTGGGACCACAAGATCTAGTCTCAAAAATGGGATGCAAAGTACAAAATATGTGATTAAAAAAAATACATGCTGCTGGAATACTGCTCAGCAATAACAAGGAGCAAAGCATTGGTAAATGCAACGACTAAGATGGATGTCAAGGGCATGAGGCTGAATGAAAAAAGCCAATCTCAAAGGATTACATACTATATGACTACTTACATAACATTCCAAAGTGACAAAATTATAGTGATGGAGAACAGATCAGTGATTGCCAGAGGTTAAGGTTACGGCTGGAGGAAGGATGTGACTTGTAAGGGGTGACATGAAGGAGTTTCCTGATGGTAATAGAAGAGTTCTGTATCTTGATTATGGTGATGGTTACTCAAATCTACACATGATAAAAATTCATGTAACTATACACACCTCCTTCTGACTCCCCATCAAAAGAAATGTATGTAAAAACTGGTGAAATCTGAAGGTCTGGACCTGAATTAGTAGTATTGTATCAGTGTTAGCTTCCTGGCTTTGACAGTGTATTATAGTCATATAAGATATTATCATTGGGGGAAGCTGTGTGAGGGATATATGGGAATTCTCTATACTATTTTTGTAAGCTTTGTGAATTTTAAACTAATTCACACTAAAAATAGAGACAGGAGAGGGGAGGGAGGAAGAGAAGTAGAGTGAACATGATTAAAAGATTGGGCAGTTTTGCTTCTTAAAGAATTGAGTTGTAAGAATGAATGGTTAAGAATACACCATAGTTAAGTCAGTATGTTCAGTATTTTTTTCCTGCTGTATATTTTTATAGAATTCTTAATATTCTTACCCCTTTAATACTTGCATACAGATATTTTGCTCTTGTTGTGCACTCTTGAGCCAGATAAGTGAGTGGCTAGTTATAATCATATAACTGATAAATACAATTTTTCCCCTTTATCTTAACATTAAGAGAGAAAGACAGAGAGTGAGTGCTGGGGAGGGAAAGGAGGATACTGTGGAGAACTTTCAAAATAGAAAAAAATAACTGTTTAAATAAAAAAAGAGAAACAGGCTGTAACCTAAAATAAAATTATAAGCTATTCTTGGATCCCTTCAAAAGTACAGGGTCCTTGATAACAATAGTGAACTGCAGAGAAATGTACTTTTCGCTGTATACCCATTTACACTGACAACTGTCTTCTTTACCATGTGTATAATGAGTATGTATTGCTTATTTAATTTAAAAAATGTTAAGATAAAAAAATTAGAAAGAGTAAATGCATAACATAGTAACATGGCAATGAAAAAAGATACTCAGAAAAATATGATAGAAAAGGGAAAATATAAGTTTACAAAAAAACTCCCAAAATTAATAAGAACAATGATTTCATTCAAAAGATAATTAAATCTTTTTTAGGCAACAAAAGAGTAGCTTTAGTTCCAAATAAAAGTAAACATAAAGAAGCTTAAGCAGTGCATTTCACTATACTGAACTTTTTTTTCAAAAATTGAAGAACTAGTCTTTCCTAGAAGACAGCTGCACAATCTAACAGAAAAAAATTCAGTCATAGATTCCTGACTATTATAGAAAATATTCTTCCTCACAAAGCTCTTTATGCAAATACAACAAAAAGGAAAATTACAAATATGTGTTCATGTTATTTTACACAAAAAAAGAAATAAAAATGTTATAAAAATGAAGTGAATGGGCCGGCCCGGTGGCGCACTGCTACAGTGCGCCGCTTGGGAAGCGCGGCAGGCGCCCCCGCCGAGGGTTCGGATCCCACATACAGACCGGTTCCCGCTCACTGGCTGAGCGAGGCGTGGGAGCAACACCGAGGGTTGCGATCCCGTTGCCGGTCCCGGTCCGGTACGGGCGCGACACTGAGGGTTGCGATCCGTTGCCGGACACGAAAAAAGACAAAAAGGAAAAAAAAAAAAAATGAAGTGAAGGTTGCTATGCTCAGGACATTTGTCACTGCTAAAAGAAGGAGAAAACAGTAGATTTTTTTCAGAGATTTCAAAAAGGAACCACAAAGTCCACCCTGTTTCCCATATAACGAGGTTTCATAAAAGCCTTTCCTTGGTCCCTCTGGTCTCTTTTTCTAGCCAGGAATTTTTAACCCAAGATAAGCAGACTGTCAAAGGATTGCTACATTTCAGTCAATTTCAATATATTTAGTTGCCTTTAGAATCACATTTATTTAATGCATTTAAAATTGTTATTCTGAGACAGAGTCTGTAGGCTTTGTCCAGCAGCCAAAAGGATTTGTGGTAACAGCAACAACAAAGTAAGAATCTAAACTAACTGGGACAGTCTCCTGAAACTTTCGCTAACCTACCTATACCTCAATCACAGAAAACATGAGAGTAAACAGAGAATATACAATGCTACCACCAAAAATAACACTGCTGTCATTTGTGGTCATATCTTATATCTTCATTAATATTTCTTTAGATTATGAGGTCATCACATCCAGAAATAAGAGAAGTGGTAAAATAACACTGGGACAGATTAACTTTCAAAATAAGATATTCTTTGTATATTTGTCAAACAACTGCACTAACAGAATTTAACATCTCTTTTCTCCTAAAAATAATTTACTGTCAATTATTTGTCAGATTACAGAATAACAGTTATAAGAAAACTACCTAACTACATATTTTATTATGTAGTAACAAGGCTTCACTGAATATAACTTAACTCTCAATATGACTAGCTTTGAAATTATGTACCACATTTGCAATATATCAGAATTAACTGTGATGGATAAAACAGATTTGTATCTTACCTCTGCATAAGTATTTAAGTTGCTTTTTAAATAGCCTGTAAGTGCAGCAACTTGGCATGCAAAATATGGTAATGCCCAGTTTTCTCTTAAAGGAATGGAGTACTCAATTCTTGTTGTATCTACCCTAAAATAAACCACAGATGAACAGCAAAAGCAAGACATTATATTTGTGTAACACTGTACTTTCCAAAGCACTTTCACACACATCTCTTTGTTCTTCATAACCATCTATTAGACCACTGCCTATACAGCATCTATAAGCAAATGAAGTGTCTCATCCCCACTCCCACCCAGGAAGATGCACACTGCTGTGCACTGCTTGGAGAACAGATGGGCCTCTGTGAGCATTTGAAAACGGCACGCTTGCTCTGGGTAGACACGGCCCCATGCTGTGGCACATAGCTTGTTGCACAGACTACCCTGGATTTCAGCCCCCACCCTCCCTTCCCTTAACCAGATGGCTACTCTTCTCTAGAGCGCATCTGCACTACATCATTAGCAGCCTGGCAGATCTAAAGTTCTTATCCCTCTTTAGAAAAGGACTATGAAGTTCAGAGAAGTGATGTGACTTAATCAAGGTCATACAGGTGGTAGGTGGCATAACTGGGATAATAATGCATATCTTCTGATATCAGTTTAATAATCTTTTCAGTCAGCAAGTTACCCAGAATTAATATTACAATAGTCGTTTATGTGATATAACTAGAAACTTTTGAAAATTCTCAGAATCACAAATATAGAAGTGTCTTTGTAGGTGCCTCCTAAGTTTCTCCTCAATCAATTTTCACTGAGAGCCTGTTGTATACTGTGCATCCTCACACAAGGGGACTATCTTTCCAACAATAACTAAATTTGGCTCTCTTTCACTCAATGGCTATTGTCCACACAAAAACAAAGGTGCTGTTCTATTTTTAGAAATTTATGAAAATTCCTGTATAACTCTCCTAGGTAATAAGAGATGGACATGGTTCCACGTAATTTAGTTTACTCAATAGCCAAGTGACACAATCCTACATACTGATGTCAGTTAGTAAACTGTATTTGCAATAACACTAATCATGAACCACTGGATTGTTTGCAAATAGACAAAATTACAAATATTAAAATCTCATGGACCAAGAAGCTATAATTGCAACAGCAGTAAATCCAGTTCGTAAACTGTATTTGCAATAACACTAATCATGAACCACTGGATTGTTTGCAAATAAACAAAATTACAAATATTAAAATCTCATGGACCAAGAAGCTATAATTGCAACAGCAGTAAATCCAGCCAGGCTCAGCATGATATCACAGACAAAAGAAATAAACTCAGACTTTAAAAAGCCAATGAATAAAACATCTTTGAGAAAGCAATTACGGACAAATTACATTACACAACATATATAATAAATCTTAAAAATCCTCTTTATTCATCTCTTCTAATCTCAGACCTCTAAGCACTAATAACTTTCTTTTTCTATTCCTACCCCAATTCCTGTCTCATTTCCCCTTCCTCTCCCCAGTCAGATCTTTTATTTTTTCTCAGAGTAGCATAATGTACTTTCTTATGTCAAGTCATCTATAGCCTTCTCTGGGCTTCTTCAAATTTACATTTTGACCTATTTTCTTTTTAGCACAATAGTTCAGTAGCTAAGCAAAACAAGACAAAAGATTTTCCTAGGAAGAAAGAGACAAGAACATGGTCAAAAAATACAATTGCACTTTAATATTTTTGTTCCCATTGATATGTATAACAGTACCAATCATTATTATAACAAATCAAGCATTTCCATTGTCCTACAATCCATTCAAGTATTTGTCCCATATAAAAATATTTTACATAATCATAATTCTTCAATGAATTTTTATTCTGCTTTTTAAACACATATACTTTGCGTGTTCCCCCTTATTCATACTTAATTCTTTTTTTAAAATGTATTACTTTATTAGAAAATTGGTATATGTTTGTTACAGAAATATTAGAAAATGCACACAAGCAAAAAGAAGAAAAATTTTAAAACAACTATAATCTCATCCATTCAGACACCACCACTATTAAACTCTTGTCCATCACTTAGCCAATGCAGTAAGATGAGAAAAATAAAAGGCATCAAGATTGAAAAGGAAAGTAAAACTGTTATTTTTCACAGAATATAATGTGTACATAGAAAACCCTAACCACAAAAACTAATAAATGTATTTAGCAAGGCACTTAGCCAATGCAGTAAGATGAGAAAAATAAAAGGCATCAAGATTGAAAAGGAAAGTAAAACTGTTATTTTTCATAGAATATAATGTGTACATAGAAAACCCTAACCACAAAAACTAATAAATGTATTTAGCAAGGCTAAGCCAATGCAGTAAGATGAGAAAAATAAAAGGCATCAAGATTGAAAAGGAAAGTAAAACTGTTATTTTTCATAGAATATAATGTGTACATAGAAAACCCTAACCACAAAAACTAATAAATGTATTTAGCAAGGCTATGGGAGACAGGTGAATAAACAAAAATTTTTTCTATATACCATCAATGAACATTATAATTAGCATTTATAACAGCATCAATAAGATCAAAAATCTATGAATAAATCTAAAGGAACATGTGAACTATAAAATGTACACTGAAAATTATAAAATGCTGACAGAAAGTAAACAAGCCCTAAATAAATAGGTAGATATATCACATTTTGTATACCATGGAATGGAAGACACAATATTGTTAACATGTCCATTCTCCCCATGTTAATCTATAGATTGCATTACATCCTTATCAAAATTCAGGCAAGCTTTTTTTTAAAGAAATCAAAAAGCTGATTCTAAAATCCATACAGAAATGCAAAGGGTCTACAATAGCCAAAGTAATTTGGAAAAAGAACAAAGTTAGATGTTTATACAACCTAATTCTAAGACTTAGTAAAATGTAATAGTTATCAATACAGTATGGTGTTGGGGTTAGAATGTACAAATCAACAGAAAAGAAAAAGACCAAAATTCTAGAAATAAATCCACGTATACATCATAAGTTCATTTTTTTTCTTTTTTTATTCTCTCAGATATCAATGTGTCTTGGTGGTTAGTTCATTTTCAAATAAAAGTGTTAAGTCACATCACTGGTAAAAAGACAGTCTTTAAAAAAATAATGCTGAAACAACTGGACATCTATATGAAAAAATTAATCTCAACCATTACCTCACATCACACATAAAAATTAATTTGAAATGGATTATACGCCTAAATCAAAAAGGCAAAATTATAAAGTTTCTTGATGAAAATGTAGGAAAATATTACAATACCCTTGGAGTAAAGATTTCTTGGACAGGACACAAAAAAGTACTAATCAAAAAAGAAACACTTGGGCTAGCCAGTTAGCTCACTTGGTTACAGCATGGTGCTGATAATGCCAAAGTCATGGGTTTGGATCCCCATACTGGCTAGCCACAAAAAAAAAAAAAAAGAAAGAAAGAAAGAAATACTTGATGATTAAAAGACACCATTGGGAAAATGAATAATCAAGCCACAGCCTAGGAAAAAATATTAACAGTACATAACATGACAAAAGATTCTTATCTAGAATATATAAAGAACCTGACAAATGAACAATTAAAAGATAAATACAATTTTTTTAAAATGTGCAAAAGACTTAGACAATTCACAAAAGATATGTGAATAACCAATAAGCACGTGAAAAGGTGTTCAGTATCGTCACTCATCAGGGAAATGCAAATTCAACAATGACAGACCCAGTGCACACCCACTAGAGAGGCTAAAGTCAAAAAGACTAATACCACCAAATGCTGGCAAGGATGTGGAACAACTAGAACTGTCATAAATCGCTGGTGGGAGGGTAAAAATGGTACAACCACTGGAGAATTGACTGGCATAATCATATATCTACCCAGTGACCCAGAAATTTCACTCCTAGATATTTATGTAAGAAAATGAAAACATACTCCTACATATTGCTCAACAATACAAAGGAATGAACTACTGCTATACACAATGTGGATAAACCTCAAACATATTATGCAGAGCCAGATGAAAGAATATATATACTGTATGATTCTATTTATATGAAAGTACAGAATAGACAAAAGTGATCTACGTAGTGATAGAAGTCAGAACAGTCATCACCTTGAGGGATACAAAGAAACTTTCTGTGGTTATGAAAATGTTTTGTATCTTGTTTTAGTGATTACATGGGTATATAAAATAGTAAAAACTCACTGAACTGAACACTTAAAATCTGTGCATTGTATTGTTTCTTAATTATACTTCAATAGATATATCAACAAAAAAATATTAGACTATGACTTGGCCAGTTTGGGCTACTATAACAAAATACATTAGACTGGGTAATTTATAAACAACAGAAATTTACTGCTCGCAGTTCTGGAGGCTGGAAAGTCCACGATCAAGGCACCAGCAAGAATCAGTGCTTGGTGAGGGCCCTGATCCTCATAGATGTCACCTTCCGGCTCCCTTCAACCTCTTCTATTAGGGCAATAATCCCATTCATAAGGGCTCTGTTCATGACTTAATCACCTCCTAAAAGCACCACCTCTTAATACTGTCACATTGGCCGTTAAATTTCAACATATGAATTTTGGGGACATATTCAGGCCACAACAGACTAGATAAAAATCTTAGTGACCTTGGGTTTGGCAAAGATTTCTTAAGTATGACACAAAAACCACGAGAAAAAAATAAAAGATAGAAAAAAAAAATCAGCACATTGGACTTCATCAAAATTTGATACTTTTTCTCTTCAGGCTGGCCAGTTAGCTCAGTTGGTTAGAGCATGGTGCTGTTAACACCGAGGTCCAGGGTTCAATCCCTGTACCAGCCAACTCCCCCTCCTTCAAAAAAGGAACTTTTTCTCTTCAAAAGATATTGTTAAGAAAAGGAAACCACAGGCTGGAAGAAAATATCTGCAATACAAACACCTAGCAAAGAACTTTTATCTAGAATATATACACATAAAGAAAAAGAACTCTTACAACTCAATAATAAGACAAACAATGCCCTAAAAAAAAGACAAAAAATTAAACAGACACTTCACCAAATAAACATAGACAAAGAACTTTTATCTAGAATATATACACATAAAGAAAAAGAACTCTTACAACTCAATAATGAGACAAACAATGCCCTAAAAAAAAGACAAAAAATTAAACAGACACTTCACCAAATAAACATACTGGTACCTTTCTGAACCCATGTGCTACTCACTTTCTTCCCCGTACCATGCTTAATGACAGTAAGAACCAGAAAGCTAACAGTGAGATGTGACAAAATCAAATGAGATCCCCATTATTCCTGCAGTGGCAAAATCCAGCAGACTGTAGCACAAACCAACACTTCAAAATAATAAGTTGTTAGATCAACTGGGGTCTACAGACCTGAGATACATTCAGAGATCAGCAAGTTTTCTCTAAGTTTAATTTTGTGTTCTTACTTTAATGATACTTAAAAACAGCACAGTATAAGCACAATCTAGATCATGTGGATGACCACCTTGGAACTCACTACTGCCAAAGGATTTCAGTGTTCACTTCTCTGTTTGTACTGACAATCTAGTTGGCAACACAGTACTACTTAAATTGGCTTGGGCTAATCAAAAAACAATGACATGGTCTTAATATTAAAGGATACATCGGCAAATAAAAACAAAACAATCTCTTGATCACTGTGGTAAAAAAATTTTTAGTAGACTGAACAGAGTGAAATGATGAGAACTCAGTCATTCATGGCACCCAGTTGTGTAGGTTTGTCACATTCATAAGAACCTGCTTCACTGGTACCATACTGACACTAAGAGTTGCAATTTGGTTTCAGAAAAATATCATTTTCATATTAAATTAATATTTTCAATTAATATTTTACTGGTTTGTTATTTCATTTAATTGGTTTCAGTTTTATACTAGCATAAGCACTTCTAGGCATAAGGAATGTTACCCAGTTGTATGCTTTATATTTAAGTAGCATTATAATTAAGATTATTTAAGTCAACACATGGAATCCATGAGAATTAATTAAGTTTTAAATATACATAACGGAAGTTTGAGAGACATTGAGTTAGATGATATATGCAAAACATATGTCTATGTGCATGTCAATATGCATGTCAATGCATAATACGTGAAAGTTGAAAACCATTTGTACACTATCAATATAAAGGCTGCCCACTTCCTTGCACTGAATTACAATCTACCTAACCATTCTCCTATACTAGGAAGAGCTAATTTTTTATATTATTACAAATCATTATTTATATTATTTGAAATTATTATTGTATTTTTTTAAATTATTACAAATAATTCTATAATAACAAATTCAAGTAAGGAACTTTTTCCCTTTTTTAGATTGCTTCCTTGAAATAAAATGGAATTCCTGGGGAAAACTACTACCTAAAATTGAGATAAATTTACCCCTACACCAGCATCTTGACTATACCAACATTATCACAGCAAAACCAGCATTATGTGTTCCCATTATTTTCTGCTAACTATACCTCTCCTACATGTGCATTTCCTTGCATCTTACCTCTTTACCGTTAACCAATGTACTATTTTTTGCCAAAGATTAAATTTAATAGAGACTTTTAATCAGATATAATACATCACATAATCAAGAAAACAATCCTTTCAGAAGGTCTATATTTTAAATAATGCAAATAATCTTGTTTTATACTAAACACCATTTCACTCTAAAAAGGAAGTCTTTCCAGACATAGTACTGTCATAACTTTCTGTGGTGCTATTAAATTTCTAAATTTTAGAAATTTTAGAAAATTTTAGAATTTTAGAAAAGTATGCAGCAACTTAAAATATTCTCTAATAGGCACTTTATGACATAATAAGAAATCATCTTATCACCCTAGCCCCCAGATTGGATTCTTTAATACCATTCTACACTAAAAGGAACCACAGCTCCATAGGGGTTAGGTTCATTAATTCAAAGCACACTGTCATAAAGACTAATTCATTAATTCAAAGCACACTGTCATAGATTAATATAGAGTCCTTACCTATGACGGTAAGCGACGTCATCAATTTAAATAAAAGAAGAAAGAAAACCTACATGTATGCCAATGTCACTATGTCTGAAAAAAGAGATATAAGACTGGTATATTATTTTTCAATTGTGTAACAAATGGCCACAAATGTAGTGGCTTAAAACAACACAAATTTATTATCTCACAAAGGCCAGCAGAGAATGGCTGGATTCTCTACTCAGTTTCCTGAAGCTAATATCAAGACATCAGCCAGGGCTACAGTTCTCACCAGGGGCTTGCAGTCCTCTTACAAGCTCACTGATTGTTGGAAGAATTCAATTCCTCCTCACTTCAAACCAGCAATGGCACAGTGAATCCTTCTCATGCTTTGAATATATCTGACTTTCCCTTTTGCACTCAGCTTTTAAGGGCTCATGTGATTACACCAGGCCCACAGGGTAATCTTCCTACCTTATTGTCAACTGTGCTATATAACATAATCACAGGAATGATATTTCATCATATTCACAGGTTCTGGGCTTAGGATGGGGAATCTTGGGTATGAGGAGCATTTTCAGAATTCTGATTATCACAGCCACAAAATATTGTAAGATCAATTAAAACACCTTTCTTACCTGTTAATAATGAACCATGCAACTGTAAGCATTCCTGCTAGCCATGTTCCACTCATAAGCCAACTTGTAACAAATAAAGCAGTGACATATATTCCTTGTAATCCAAAAACAATGCCAATATAGAAATACACTGGCTCAATAAACTCCTAAGTGGAATAAAGAAAGAGAAAGAGAATAGGATGACATTAAACAATTTGAGGATTCATAAATATGTGAGGAAATAAATATTAAGGTCAAAAGAAAAATACATACATTGCTACCAGTTGCTTGATATAAAACACTGGCGATAAGTTCTGGATATAGAGACATTTGCTGTACTGCATTTATAGTCTTCAGAGATACAGTTTTGTTATTGTGTGTCAGTTCATAAATACCTAAAGACAGAAAGATTTTTCTTCAAATTATTTATTCTGCCTTTACAATAATTAAACATGCCATTCATCGATAATTAAATATTTAATATTATCAAGAAACATACCAAAATATGAGACTCCAGGCCTCATTTATCCAATTTTTTTTCCAATTTTTTATTAGGTACAATAAAGAGAAATACATATATTCTGAAACAAATCCCCATATTCAAAGGCTCCAATATAGTAATATTTTATTTCAGACAAATATTGTTATCAATAATACAACTGTGTTTATGGTACCTCTTTCAAATGAAGGCGCCTTTAACATATCTTTATAATAGGAATAATAAATGGCACTGTCACCCTGAAATGTGATTTCCCGTTCAAGCTCCTAAAAGAAAATAAAATGATCATTTAAATACTAATGTCTTAAATTTCAGGTGCAATCTTCCTTCTCCCTCCTCACCTTCTTAAATTAACAAGGTATTTATTTATCCTTTTATTCAAAGACATGTTTAAATGTTCTTTAATCACTAGTGGCCATATCAATGAGGAGGTTAAACTTTTCAATAATCTGGCAATCGTTTTTACGCCACCGGGCCGGCCCTGGCAATCGTTTTAATGAAACATTTGAAGTTTAAAATGAATTGTAATTCATAAGTCATTACCTTTTCTATATATAAGGAAAATCTAGAAGGAAAACCTAAAGAAATACCTTGAGGATAGTAAGAATAGAAAGGCAGGTAATAACAATTGATAGTTGAAGTATTAGAAATCCCTGATAGAAAGATAAGTTTAAGAAGAAAGTAATATTTTCTATTACTATTCCACATCCATATGTATCCAGAACAGCAAGCCCTTAAATGGTACTTTTCAAGAGCAACAGATACTTCATCGGTTCTTTTCAAATGAACTTCCAGAAATGTAAGCAGGTCTTAAAATTCATAAAATTAGGCTATACAGAACCAAGAATGCAGTAATTGAAAACATTAGGAGGCCTTGTGCTTTTTGTGTCGAATCAAACTTTTTTGAATCTATACTCTTTTAAAATCAAACTTGATTTATTTTCATGCATAATATTCATCAATTAATACAAAAACAAAATATATTAGAGCAGTTTTCCCAAAGTCTGATCAACAGAACTTCCGAAGATGTAATGGGTATTACCTAAAAAGAGTTCTGTAGTTAAATAAGTTTTGAAAAGGGCTGAATTAAGCAAAGTTAAATAAATTTCTCTATTGCAAGACTTTTCAGTTTCATTACACATTAAACATTGTGAATCTCCAAGAGGAAGTCTTGGCCAGATCTATTTGACCAATGAACCCTCTTCCCCCCAATTTGGAGCTTACTATGGTCTGAATGTTTGTATCCAAAATTCTTATGTGAAAATCTAATCCACATTATGAGGGTATTGGGTATGAGTTCTTTAGTAGATGATTAGGTCACGAGGGCAGAGGCCTCATGAATGGAGCCAAGAGAGATTCCATGCTCCTTCCACCATGTGAGGACACAGTAAGAAGATGGCCCACTACGAACAAGGAAGTGGACCCTCACCAGACAACAAATCTGCTGGCACCTTGATTTTGGTCTTCTAGCCTCTAGAACTATGAGAAATAAGTTTCTGTTTTTTATAAGCCTCCCAGTTTATGGTATTTTGTTATAGTGGCCCAAACGGACTAAGACAGAGCTTACTGACCTAAATAAATTTCCTTAAAATGATTTTTATGAATGGAAACAGATTTGTTTCTTTCTAAGATTTCAAAGATGTAAACTCTCGATCAGTGCCTCTCAAAAATTTTTGTCTTTTGTCATTCCTCTAGTCCCTGGAAGTACTTCTCAAATTTACAGTGTATATGAAACACACAAAGATCTTATTAAAATATAGATTCTGATTTTAAAGTGGGGTCTGAGAGTCTGCAATTCTGAAAAAGCTCCCAAGTAATGCCAATGCTCCTGGGCCATATACAATGCTCTGAAAAACAACGCTCTTGATGAATGCCTTCTATATTTTCAAACCTTTGGTCATTCTCAGTTCTGCCTATAGAACAAAATCACCTCAAAATATGTTTTGAAATACTGATTCAAAGGCTGGTGGGGGCCTAAGAATCTGAAAGGGAGGTTATTTTTTTAAAGCTTCCCAGATGATACTATTGTATATCCAGCTACTATTAGCTAATCTGCATAACATTTTCAAGGAAAAATCATACACTACAGTAATAGCTAAATCAATACAGGTGTAGTCAGTAATTATTTGGTTTAATGTTTTAGTGGTGTCAGATAAATAGATGGCTTAAAAGCATTTAGTCAGTTTGACTACTTGCTAAAAAATAAGAACAACAAAAAATCCAGTTTGGGCTCAAAATTTAAAAACCCAAAAAGTCCAGCAAACTTTGAAAACAAACTTATTCAAAAGTCAAACTATGAAATTATGAATATAACTATAGCGACTAAAGAGTCTGTGAAATATATATGATTTAAAACTAAACATTATGGCTGGCCAGTTAGCTCAGGGGTTCGGATCCCTGTACTGGCCAGCCACCAAGAAAAAAAAAACCAAAACAGAACAAAAACCACAAATATTAAACATAATAATAGAGGTAACATCTTAAAAATATTATGTTATATATTAATTACTTTCAACCCCCCCTTAAACATTGTAATCATGTAATCTAAAAATTAAAATACTTTAATGCTGAAACTTCACAGATGGCTTCTGAAATGTGAGCTACCAAAACTACTAAAAGGCTGACTGAACTCCCTAACAATTCACTGTTATCAAAAGTCCCTAATAAATTAATTGCACAAAGGACAGCTCCCTCATAGTTTCTACTCTATGAAATATCCTGTTAAATATTTTAAGGCTGATACTGTGACTGTGTTCTCAAGAGAGTTTCTAAAGCATTTTGTTTACAAAAGATATGAATAAGACAGCACTTGTTATACTTATCACACACATATTTTGGCTCCCTAGAAATCACACTGCTCAAATTAATATCAAATACTAAAACGACTTTCATATGCTCAAAATTCTTCTTCTTACCTGCCTGTTGGAAAACCAGAATTTTCGTTCATGGTATGCTGATAAGTAGAGAGCATACATCATGCCACTAGTAACTGCTGCAAGACACCCAATGAAAATCTTTGCAAAGCGTTGAAATAATACATCTGAAAAAGCATATTAAAAGTAATCAAAAGGTAGTATGCATCCTTGATATGAGGTAATGAAAATGGCATTCTAACTCCATGGTCTTTCTCTCAAAAACCCATAACAGTCTAATCATGAGCAAAACATCAAATTCTAATAGAGGGACATCCTGCCATATACCTGACCAGTATTCCTGAAAACTGTCAAGGTCAAAAAGTAAAGCCTGAGAAACTGTCAAAGCCAAGAGGAGCCTAAGGAGACATGACAACTAAATGTAATATGATATCTTGGACAGGATCCTGGAACAGAAAAAGAACATTAGGTAAAAACTAAGGAAATCTGAATAAAGTATGGACTTTAGTTAATAATGATGTATCAACATTGGTTCATTAATTGTAACAAATGTACCATACTAACGTAAAATAAGGGAAACTGTGTGTGAGAGGGCATAACATGGGAACTCTACCATCTGCTCAATTCTTCTGTAAATCTAAACTGGTTTCAAAAAATTAAAGTCTATAATTTTTGCAAGATGAAAAAGTTCTGAGATCTGTTTCACAACAACATAAATACACTTAATACTACAGAAATATACACTTAAAAATGGTTAAGATAGAAAAAAAATTCAAGTCTATTAATTTAAAAAAGTAATCAAAAGGAATGTATGACCCAACATCTAAAAAAAAAAAAAAAGTCTATGGATTTCTTTTTCCTTTTAAGGACCTTTTTCTTTATTGAAGAATAACTTAACAAACTACAGCCATTTAAAGTATACAATTCAATGAGTTTTGATGATTAAGTTTTAAAAGATCACACACAACTGTTTTATATATATAAATGTAACTACTTATTGAAAAAATAACATAAAACCTATTTAGATTTTGTAGACACAGGATGATTCAGTCCTGCTATAGCCATTAAGTATAAGCAGCACAGGCCTAAGGGCCTAAAACCCAGTGTTCTGTTACTTAATAACTAACAGGTTTGTAAAAATCAACTTGTTGATTTATGATTTTAGCTAAACTAAAATCTTAGCTATTTTCAAAACATTATTTAATAAATAGAATAACTAATAGGGTAACTAGATAGATATCACTAAATTAATAAGAATTATATTCTAAATGTTTGAAAAACACTACCCCAAAAATCAAATATCAGTATCAGTATAATACAATTGTTTTAAAATTTCTGCTTCTAATAGCATGTGTAAAGCATTTGGCATGGCGCCTGGTACACAGTAAGAGCTCAGCAAATATTAGCTGTTATTATGCTACACAAGCATACTTGCAAAATACATGAAACAGTTAAAGCAATGTTGACACAATATGAACTATAAAAACCTAATAAGAAAACTAACCTATAATGGCAGTTTGTCAAAGGAGCTTCAAAGTTTCTAAATGTGTATCTTTTCTTTTTTTTTGTTTTTGTTTTTTCCATTAAGGCTTAAACAATGACAAACTAATCCTACTTACAGGAGCTATTATAAAAAGTACATTCAACCAATTTCTATATAGGAATGCCTTACCTTGAAACTAAATATTTTGCTTTTGTAAGGAGACAAAGATGGGACAGACATCAAGCTTTCAGTGTCTGGAATAAGTATATATTTTAGGAAAAAATAAAGAGCTTTGGACCCTAGAAATTGTCTTAAAAAACAACCATTTTAATTTGAAAATTTAAAAGTAAAAGATCTGACTTCTAATTAAGTTGCTAGTCACAAACCAGCCTAATTAGATAACTTCTATGTGCACCAGTCCCTTCATTTGTAAAATGCCAATCAGACACATAACAAGAAAAAAAAGATTCCATAAAAGTCACTATCAACAAAACAGAGCACAGTCAAAAAAAAGAAATTCAGGATCAATTTCACAAAAAGAGGTGGGAAAAGCATAAGCACATAGAAAAAAAGATAAGCAATACTTATGTTAAAATGTCAAGAGTACCTATATCTAATCTTGAATTATGGATGAATTATGGATGCATTTTATTTTTATTATTCTTTTTTATTATTCTTTTCTTTATTATCCACATGTTCTACCCTAAAAATGTATTTTTGTAGTCAGAGGGGAAAATACTATTTTGTGGTGGTTATCTCTAGATTGCTTAATTTTCTGTCTTATATTGCATTTTCCAACTTTTTTTTAATGATTCTATTAGCTTTGCTGTAGTTAAAAAAAAAAAATTACCCCAAAATATCAGTGGCTTACAAAACAAAGGTTTATTTCTCATTCACATTACTTATGGGTTGAGGTCAGCGGTGACTATTCCAGACTAACATTCAACTGCAGATTTCAGGTCAGCTCTGGCTCTTCTCCTTATATCTTCTGAGTTTCAGACTGGGATTACTCCCTATTTGGGACATGCTGTTCTCACGACAGAGGAAAAGAACAGGAAAGCAGGCAGAGTTTCTCCTCTCAGAACCAATGCATTGCTACTTCCACTCACACTCCACTGGCCCAGGCAAGTCACAACATAAGGCTGACAACAGGGTAGGGAAGTATAGTCTGCCTCAGAGAGCCAGTCTAAGTCACTTGGCAATGGAAAGGGATGTATAATCCACTTTTAGGGAAGGGAGCAAACATTTGGGAAAAATAAAATGGCAATATACAGTCTGCCTCCTTAGTCACAGATATTCACTTCCCTCCCAAAAGCAAAACACACTCATTTCTTCACAGGAGAGAGCCTAAGAGCAGCTTAGCCTGATTCCTGCCTGTAGATAGTTAGGGACTCTATGCCATTTTGAGACTTGAAGAGTTAGAGTCCTTTTTAATGTAGGGTGGTGGTTCTTTTGACAGAATGCTCTTTCTCTCAAAAGCTTAACCAGCAATTCTTCTCCCAGGTATCTACCTAAGAAAAATGAAGGCATATGTCCACAAAGAGACTTGTACTAGAATGTCCATAGCAGCCATAGTATTCATAGTAACTAAATACTCGATACAACCCAAATGTCTAACAAGAGGAGATGAGATAAACAATTATGATATATTCAAACAGTAGAATACTAATAAGCACTAAGAAGGAATGAACTACTGATGTTCACAACACTGACAAACCTTAAAATGATCACACTTTTAAAGGATAACATATTGAGCTGAATGAAAGAATCCAGACACCAGAGCATACATGTTGTATGATTCTATTTATACTGAAGTTCCGGAACATGCAAAGGTAATTATTCAATAGTGATAAATACCACAACAGTAGTTGTCTTGCAGAGGTAGGGGAAATCTATTGGAAAGGGGCACAAGGAAACTTTCAGGGATACCGTAAATGTTATATAGTTTGTTTTGGCTGCATTCAAATATCAAAATTCATTTAATTAAACACTTAGGATTCTGTGCATTTAATTTTATGTTAATTATACCACAATTTCAAAAAATTAAATCATTCACATTTGCAAAGAAAATAAAAATTTTGTCAGATTTTTACCTACTTGATTCTGATCAGCCGCATGTACCAACAGCAACACCCATAATTTTTTCTAGATATGCCTCTCTCAAAGGCTTAATTACACATAGCTTGAGCTTATCAAACTTTTGTGTGACAACACCCTCAGTTCTTTTCCTTAAGTTCTGTGTCCAACTAAAGGATTTAGTAGGAACTACCACAATTCACTCATGCATTTTAACAAATTGTGTAATACTGTGTCCTTGATTTGGTCATTACCCTGAAGACTCATTTTAATCAGCCTTTGTTACTTAAAGTATTTCTTAATTTTATTTTTTATTGGTTGAAAAAGATAAACAGGTCTAACTTCAACACTACAAGTCCCAGAATTTCTTGGGTTCTCTATTTTCCTCTTCATTCCCACTTCCAAATAGTCCAATTTTATTCTAAACTCATGTCTTTCCTGTAGTCAGAGCACTCTAGTAACATTGTTTTGCAATCTGGTTACCTAAAATAATAAAAAGTTAGTATTAGAATTACAACTTTTCATAGGAAACAGTATTTCCCAATGCATAATACAAATCTTGACTTTCTGGCTTCCAAAAATAATTTTCTTGCTGCCAGCCACTGAACTAGATCTGTAGATAACCCATTGCCTTTATCTTATTTAGTAAATACAAATATAGGCCCTCAACTTTCTATGAGCAGGAAAAATCTGAGAAAGGTATTCAGCACCCAAGAATAACATATTCTCTTCAGATATGGTCATGGAGGATATGGAAAAGGAAGGAACTCCAGAAGATAAAGCCAAGGACCATGGAGAACAAAGAACTGGGAAGCAACTCCCAAGAAACACAATTGGAGCATAATCATGAAACACACCCTAGAAGTCCTCATTTACCTAGTAGGATTTCAGAAATTGCTATGGAACAGTGGCTGATGGGTGTCTCCTACTCTTCTTTTCTGAATGAAAGCATTTATTTTGGTTATCTGTTCCTGTCCAACAATGTATAGTGAGAGAGGGGGCAAGCACAGAAAAGAGCTAACAGAGCAGGCCTGAGACTGCTTTCCTAAGGCTTAGTTGCAAGGTAGGCTGGCATCTGAGAACCTGGATTTCAGGAGGGTTCCCACCATTCTCTAGCTGATAAGAGTGTTTTATTGTGCCTACTCTGTTTGTGCAATGTAGTTTATGCTTTCCTTCTGGAAGTCTAGAATTTTGGTACATGGAAGGCAGAGGATATCTACATGATCAGCCCACACTAAAAACCCTGAGCACTGAGTCACTAATCAGCTTCCCTGGTAGACAAAACTTAACAAATGTCACAATTGGATGCTGAAGAAATCAAGCACATCCTCTGTGACTCCAATGGCAGAAGAATTTCGGAAGCATGTGCCTGGCTTTTTGCAGACTTCACTCCATAGGTCTTTTCCCTTTGATGATTTTGTTTTATGTTATTCACTGTAATAAATCATAGAACATAACATAGTTGTACTCTCAGCTGAGACCTCAGTCCTTCTAGCTAATAACCAAACACGGGGATAGTCTTGGGGACCCCTGATATAGAGCAGATAACTGATTTTGTTTTATGTTATTCACTGTAATAAATCATAGAACATAACATAGTTGTACTCTCAGCTGAGACCTCAATCCTTCTAGCTAATAACCAAACACGGGGATAGTCTTGGGGACCCCTGATATAGAGCAGATAACTTGTCTTTTTAGTTCGTAGGTCTCTGGAAGAGAATGAGTCATAGTTGATCCTGCTATAGATAAGGTTTCAAGATTGATGCTGTGACAAGACTTTCTTAGGATGGGAGAGGGAGTCAGCATATTTTATCTCAGGGAGGGAAATAAATATTTATGACCAAAAGGACAGCTTGTGGTAGACTGCATTATTCCCAACTATTTTCTCCTTCCCTATAAGAAGATTATAGTGAGAAGATTATACATTTTGGGACTGGCGGGTTAGCTCAGTTGGTTAGAGGGTGATGCTGATAACACCAATGTCCAGGGTTCAATCCCTGTCCTGGACAGTCAGCTGCCCAGAAAAAAAAAAAAAAAAAAAAAAAAAAAA